GGATATGAGCAATTTGAATAAATAGTAAATATTGACTTTATGTTATTTATATTTGGTAGTATTTATTTATTTGATAATATTTGACATAGATCATGCAATCTTTATGGAATGTATGATATTTATTTTATTTAAATATATTGATGATAAAATGGTTTAAAGAAAAGGGGATAATGGTCCAAGCACCTTCCATTATGTTGATGACCCATCTATGGAATGGATGGTTCAGATTTCTCACCCCATAAATCACATTGATGAACAGTCTAGATTCAATCTCATAAAAAAAGTAAACTATGAAAAAACTCTAAAAAACTATAAACCTAACTTTACACCATGAAAGGGGATTTTATTTCCTATCTCTACACAACCTCTCTCTCACCCATAATCTCTCTTACCTCTCTCTCTCCTAGAGGGCACACCCCACTCTCTCTCTTCTATATTTCTCTCTCTAACCTTCTCTCTCCAAAACTCTCAAAGGGGCACACCCAACCCTAGGTAGTTTTCTTTCTCCTCTCTAGACCTAAGAAGAAACTATGGTAAGAAATCAGAGGAAATCTAGAGTTATTTTTGGGGGTTAGAGTTTGGTAGATATTTTAAGGGTGGTTATCTAGTTTGGCTGAAATCAGTTTTCTCGGATCGAGATTGAAGCTAGACTGCAGATCTCGTGCTATTGGATGTGGTGACTCGGTGTGGGGTATAAAAAGCCCGGTTGAGGTAATCTCCGGCATTTTTTCTTTTGTTTACTTGCTCTTTTATTTTATATCCTCAAGCACAGTATTACGTTGTATGAATGACATCAAGTAGTTGAATTTTATTTTATTGATGTGCTATTTATTTTTGGAATATCTATTATTTGTAATAAGACCATCTGTAAGTGATCTTGTTGCCAAAACATAAGGGGTGATTATTATTAATAAAAAAAAAAATTTATATTTTCTCAACAAATGATCACATAGGTCTTACTTTCACTACTTACATTTTTTTAGAGAGACATATCTCAAAACTTTTAGAGAGAGAAACTATATCAAAATTTAATTTTTAGAAAGAGAGTATATAAAAATCTTAAAGATAGAAACTATGTCAAATTTTAGATAGAGAAACTACCTGGAAATTTTTACAAAGAGAAACTATCTCAAATTTTAAGTTTTAGTGAGAGAAAATATTTTAAAACTTTAGAGAGAGGAACTATATCAAATTGTAGATAGAGAGTACATTAAATTTTTAGATAGAGAAACTATTTCAAAAATTTTAGATAGAAAAATTATCTCAAATTTTAAGGTTTAGATAAAGTATATTAAAATTTTAGAGAAAGAAACTACTTGAAAATTTTATAAAGAGAAACTATCTCAAAATTTAAGTTTTAGAGAGAGAAAATATAACAAAATTTTAGAGAGTAACTATATCAAATTTTAGAGTGGGAAAGTACCTAAAATTTCTTAGAGAGAGAAACTATCTAAAATTTTTTGGAAAGAAACTATCTCAAATTTTAGGTTTTAGATAGAGAAAGTACTTTAAAATTTTAGAGAGAGAAACTATATCATATTTTAGAGAGAACCTACTTGAAATTTTTTAAAAAGAGAAACTATCTCAAATTTTTTATAGAGAGAAATATCTCAAAATTTAAGTTTTAGATAGAGAAAGTATCTCAAAATTTTAGAGAGAGATACTATATCAAATTTTAGAAAGAGAGTATCTAAAACTTGACTTTTACAGAGAAACTATCTCAAAATTTTTAGATAGAAACTATTTCAAATTTTAAGTTTATGAAAGAGAAAGTGTACTGAAATTTTTTAAAAAAAAACTATATCAAATTTTAAGGAGAGAAACTATCTCAAAATTTTTAGAGAGAGAGACTATTCTAAATTTTGAATTTTAGAAAGAAAAAGTATATCAAATTTTGTTACTAAACAATAGACATCGAAATAATGGTAAAAATTTAATAAATGTTGTCATGTATATCCAAACAAGAGATTTGAGGAATCCATAACAAGAATCCTTGACATTGGAAATCCATAAATTTTATTGGATTTATAATATCCAAAATTCTTAATTTTCTCTCTCTTTGCTAAAGGAAATTATATTATAAAGAATTGAAATTGGGTTTTTTTGTTCCTGCACTATTTTTTCTCTCTAGAACTTTTGTCTTTCTTGGCTAGAGGGAAACTTGTCTTGCATCACTGGCTTCCCTTCTTTCTTTGGATAGTTACTTGTTTCCCTCTCTTACTTGAGTGAAGATTTATCTTCGAAGGGAAAATGTTTCAAGAGTTGATCATTTACAAATATTTGTGGATGTTATGAGAGAGAGAGAGAGCTTCCCTATTTACCTTTGTTAAGACCTATTTCTTGACATTGCATGGAGGAAATAGACAGTGAGAGCTTCTCTAGTTACCTTTGTTGCTGTTATTCTAGAGAGAGACACAGCTGGCTGGGTGTTTGAAAAAGAAGGAAGATTCATTTCTTGATATATAGCATGGAGGAATCAATAGAGAAAGAGAATGGATTTATATTTCCACAAAAAAAAAGATATTCTAGGTAATCCAAACATGAATTTGCATGTTCTTTTATATCTACCTGATGCAATCCAAACATAATACACTATATTTCAAGAAATGCCAATTCCAATAAATACCAATTCCATGATACACTTTTCCACATGATTGAAAATCTAGAGAATCAAACAGGCTAGAGAACAGGTTTTGGTGCATAGATCGACCCATGACTCATATACTGTATCACATATTATAAATGGATTTTGGACTTCAAATTTTACACCATTCTCATATTTGAAAAAAGAAAAAAAAATTAAACCTCAATAATAAAGTATTTTAAATTTAATTGTTAAAATATCTCTGTGTCTTAGACTCTGATCTGCCATATCTTCTCTCATTTCCAACCTTCTGGTGAAACTACTTTAAGGCACTATTCTCTTTGTCGTGTCCCTCATCTCATCTCATATCGAACACGGCTCTTCCATCGTTTATTACAAGCAGGTTTTGTTTGATTAGGACATGTTCATTGAACAAAAGAAAGCATGCACAATCTCTCTCTTTGGATGTGACAACTCATATTAACAATTTAATATTTGTTCCTTTCCTTTTAAGCTTTGATCTATATAGCAGGTTGCATGTGATCAAATTTGTAATATTTTTTTGAAATACAAAATCATGGTAGTAAAATGAAAGGAAAAAGTTAATATAAGGTTCCAACTTTATACTATTGAAGTAATGTGCACTTAAAAAATCCTACAGAAGAGAGTGTTCCGGTGTTGGAGGAGTCTCTAATTGTTCATCTCGACCTTGAGATATATGTACATGAAGGAAACAAAGAATTTCACATCCAAAAAATTAGTGCAACTTGTAACAAGTAATTTGGACCTCTATTTTTAAGATTTTCAAATGTTTATTGATGTGCCCAATATGTACCATTTTACAATTTTAAACTGTATAACTACACAAATAAAAGTAGATTTTCAAATCATCATAGTCAACATCTTTAAGCAAAATCTAGGGGTACACTTTACTTCTATGGTTTAAGGAGGCAAACTTATACAAACATCACCCAAATGAAAATGCATCAACCTAAAATTTATTTGTTTTCTTAAACTAGTTTCTTAGATGAATTGATGGAAGGGGACTGTAATTAGAACTTCACTTAAACTTTTTCCCCTTGACAGGCAGTGGGATTATAATACCGTCCGGAGCAATATAAATTAGGATGCTAAGAGTAATAGGTTATAAACAGTGTAGGAAAAGTCGTACTGGATCGGTTAATCGGATATGGACCGGAAGCGGTTCAATTGGCCTAATCGAGTAAGTCTTGGGTAGTCAAAAAATTATTAAAATTTTTTATAAAAAATAAAACAATCTAATAAAATATAAAAAGCAGATTTAAAACATGATTAAACAAAAAAAAATCCAAAAGAAGTTGAAAATAATGAACAAAATGAATTTTAAAGAATCGATTTGTGTTCAGAGGCATTTTTGAAATTTTTAAAAAAGATGGGAAAATGTAAAGATAAGGGCCAAAATGATTTTTAATCTTTGCCAAAAATGATGATCACATTAAAAAATGGGAAAATTTATATAGAGCCAAGGCTCTAAACAATCAAATTAGATCCCTTATAATCAAGGGTATTCTGATAATTTTCAAAAAATTAGTGTAACTTGTAACAAATAATTTGGACCTCTATTTTCAAGATTTTCAATTGTTTATTGATGTGCCCAATATGTACCATTTTATAATTTTAAATTGTATAACTACACAGATAAAAGTAGATTTTTAAGTCATCATAAGGTTTTTGATACCTTGTCGACATCTTTAAGCAAAATTTAGAGGTACACTTACTTCTTTGATATAAGGAGGCAAACTTATACAAACTTCACCCAAATGAAAATGCATCAACCTTAAATTTATTTGTTTTCTTAAACTAGTTTCTTAGATGAATTAATCAAAATGCCCTTATAATTTTCAAGGGTATTCTGATAATTTTCTATCATCAGAAATATTTTTTAAATATTTTTATCATGGGAGCCCACGTCATGTCTATGCATATCTCAAATTTTGTTTCAAAATTATTTATAGAATAAAAATAAAAATAAAATATTATGAGTCGTTAGATGTTAACTTGTGACGTTGTGACACAAGGCCATCTCGGCCATCTACTCAGATTCATTTGCTGAAACCACTGGTGACACGTACCATAAAAAGTACTCCCTTTAAAAATTGCCAAGCTGTAGTAACTATCATTGGCATATTTATATTTGCGAAGGCATCACACATTCAGCTTACATATAGATGTAAAGCGGTAATCCCTCTAAACAATAATAATAATAAAAATCAATGATTTAAATTTTTTATCAATAAACAGTTATTTTTAGTTTTTATTTATTTATTATTTAAAAATTTTATCAAAAAAATTGTTAGTTTTAATTTTTATTTATTTATTTTGCATATTCATGAACTCTATAACAGCTATTATTTATAGCAATAAAATTAGGTTCAAACCCACCTCAAACATCGAAGATGGAGAGGGGACGCATATGTACAGACATTGTCCCAGTGATATAATTGGATTTTAAGCAGTTTCCTCGATTCATTTGGCTTGTGATTTTCCGTCGCTTTCCATAGCTCCATCACCTCGCCGGCTTGCGGCGGACGTCTCTCTCTTCCTCACACACTCTTTCTTCCTTGAATTACCTTCTCTCTCTAAGTTTCAGTGCTCTCTCTCCCCTGTTGAGTTGTGCTCTCATTTGTTCTTACATTTCAAGTGGGGGTGCTCTCGCTCTTGAGCTTTTCTCTCTCTAACGGGGGGAAAGGCAATGGAAAATGGCATGTGTAAGGGAGAACTTGAGCAATGGAATTTCACTCCAAACAAAGAGCTTCTCAAAAGTTCAGAGAACAGCGTAAGGAGTTTTCTTCACATGTTGATTTCTAATTTGCCAAATCCTATCCATAACCTAACTCAAGATGAAGGAGAGAGCACCAGGCCTGTGATTCCTCTGGGCCATGGCGACCCCTCGAACTTCCCCTGTTTTCGCACCACACCTGTTGCTGAAGACTGTCTCATCGATTCGATTCGCTCTGCTAAATACAACTGCTATCCACCGTGCACTGGGATGCTACCTGCAAGAAAGTATGCCATGATTTTTTTTAGGGATAGGGTTTTGGTTGGATTGAATGCCATTGATTAAAGTATTTCAGGCTTAGGATCTGACATAATGGATGCTTCTGACAGAATGGATGCTTTTTGTTCTCAGTTTTCCTCCCGTGGGAACAGAAGACATGGATTTTATGGTGGAAATTTGTTCCATGCGACGGGGGACGCATTTCTGCATTTGCATCCTCCGAGGTATAAAGCATCCATCAAGATGGATGCAAATGGGTAGTCCATCTAAAAGTGAAACCAAAAGTCCAAATGTTTCTTCATAAAATTATTATTTTTCAATTTCTAGAATTTATTTATTTTTTCATATTCACGATCTCCATGTTAGAGATTATACGTCCTTAAAAGTTGAGTAAAAAAATTCATCTCAAAAAATAGATTTTTAAGAGGGGACTCATTCTACATGGACTCCGTGTACTTTTCTGGTAGCAGTTTTTTTCTTTTTGTTTTTTTAGTGGGCAATTTTAGTGGACTATTTTTTTACTTAATGGAGGAGGGTCCTTTTTGCAAGATTTTTATTCCTTATTTATTTACGTATTGGTGATGGTTTATCTTAATTTTGCTAGATTTTTACATGTCGCAGTCTGTAAGTACGGTAGTCATTACGAAAGATGTAAGTCCGAAATGTTAACTAACATGTTTCTTTTTTCACTATTTGAATTTCCACTGTAATTGCATTTTTTTTTAATAAAAATTTCTCAGGAATTTGCAGAAAGAGCGATATTTGTTCATATCTCTGAAAAGTGAAAACAAATATGCCATTCGAAGATTGGGTAATATGCAAGGTTCAGTGACTCGCGTCCGATTAGGGGCGAGTTCCACTCCTTAGAAGTATAGTAAAAAAATAAAAATCAGAAAAATGTTGAAAAATAGGGAAACGCCACTGTATTTCTTAGAGATAAGTTTTAAGATGATTGTGGTAGTTTTACTTTTTAAGATAACTTGAACTTTTATTTTTTTTCCTTTGTTTGAATTTCCTGAAATATTCAAATTCTAAGTAAAAAATTTGCACTTATCCACATTTTATAGAGTTTTTCATCTTTTTAGACCTCTAATGATTTCTAGAACCTCTCTTATGCTTTTTCATATTTTGAACTGTTTTTAAGTTTTTGTGACCTTTTTTTTGGGCTTTTTCTGGGTCTTGCATGACTCGTCCGAGTCCACTTGGACTCCACCTAGTCACCCGGCTAGGCCAAGCGCCAAGTCCTTGGCCATGACCAGTTTCAGAACACTGCTAATCAGCATTAAAAATGGAAAAAGTAGAGAAAATATTGCAATGGGTAAATCAGAACTTCATTGAATTTATGGAACGCGTGTTTTTGCTTGTCCCACCGTATGGGAATGCCACCATCTTGTCTTCTTTCCCTTTGAAAATTTTCATTAATATTTCGTTTAATTTTTTCACTATAAAACAGCATCTGATTCATTTGCTCTTTAAATTTTCACCATAGAATAATATTCAATCATAAATAATCGCAAATGCCTGACTTCAATTTTCTTACCTTGAAGATGAAATTCTCATTTCAATTTTATGATGTGAACTTATGTAGAGCGGTGGCCAATTATCTATCTACCGATCTTCCTTATGAACTCACTGCGGAGGACGTTTTCCTTTCAAATGGTTGCACGCAGGCGGTGGAGATCATGATGGCGGTGCTGGCCAGTCCAGGCGCCAATGTTTTGCTGCCTTGCCCCGCCTACCCCTTGTATGAGGGCCGTGCTATTTGTAGTGGTATCGAGGCTCGGTATTTTCACCTTCTCCCAGAGAACGGTTGGGAGGTTGATCTTGACAATGTGGAGGCTATTGCAGACTCGAATACAGTAGCGATGCTCCTTGCCAATCCTGCTAATCCCTGTGGAAACGTCTTCTCTTATGAGCATCTGTCCAAGGTGAAACTTTCCTTCTCCTTTTAGTCCACTCTCTCTTTCTCTATTTCGTTCTCCATGGAAAATCCTTTGTTAAGGAACACCACCACTTCAAATTAATAGGGAACAAACTCTGACTTGCTAACGATGACTTTGAATGCTTGATTAATCATACCTATAATTTCTGGTCGATTGGGTTTTCTCTCCCCTTTCTCTCTTTCTTGCGGCTTCTCTAAGTTGTTTTAGCTAGTTGTTCAATAGCCAATCTAACTTTTTTTTCTTTTTTTCATTTTTCTTTTGACTAGAAGAACAAGCTAATTCAGTGCATCATATTTCTAATGATTGCAGCTCACACTGTCAACACTGAGTGGTAGACTTATCAGATTTTTGTCTAGAATTGTTCATTAGTGAATTGTTGTATGCAGAGATTTAAAGATCAGAATTGTTTACTGACTGGGTACCCTGGAAAAGCAAATCAGATCAGTAGTTACGATCCAACTACACCGAGTTCCACTGATCTAGCTATACAGGCCCTGAAAGAATATGAAAAGATTGTCAAATTCTTTAAAAATTTATTTCTTATGATTTCTGAAAAAAAATTGATGATCTTGTTATGTATATTAATAAAACTATTGAGAACACTTAAATTTTAAGAGTCTCATTCATGTTTGAATACCACACATTCATTTCAAAGTCTAAAATGAAGTAAAGCACTATATATCCATCAAAACACTCAAATATTAAAAAACGGAAGCGAAAAGTATACAATCTCTAAAGATAACAGTAATATTTGTGGCAAGATGGCACAAAACCATCCCCACCGCCGTGATCTTGATCACCGTTGTGCCTCTGAGTGATGTTTGAGGAACAAGTTTGAGGGTTCGAAAAGGAACCAAATTCACTATATCCGCCATATAGATTGTGGTGAGTCTGGCAGGGTATTCCTTGCTCCTAATCTGATGTCCCAAGGCTAGTCTAAGCCTCATGCTTACCTCTACTCTTGTGCTGGGGCTCGAACTCTTGCTTCCCAGTGTTACCATTTTCATCTGGGTGGCCGTTGGGGAGGCATCATCACCATCTCCTTGCACCATCTTCTCATACATTTCTTACTAGCTTGTGAAATCGTGGCCTCTCCTCTGCTTGTTCACCTCCTCCCATGTTGTTTTATGCTTTCTTCATCATCGCCTAAGGGGCCTATATCTTATTGCAATATCCTCTTGCCGAGTATTGGCTCCTCCAATTCCACCAACCACTTCTGTCACACCCCAAGAATTTACAATACTATTATTCTTGAGATGTGACGGACAAAACATATATACA